TATTTTTTAGTGAGAAATCCAATATCTCTCCCTATATATTAATTCAAAACATGTTGAGCCTAAGCGGTAAACTCTCACGCTTCGGATGCTGACATGACGAATATTATGTTTCGTAATGTTGTTTATATATTCATTTTTGCTCTGGAGTTAGGCTTGATATTAGACATGAATAACTTTTTTCAAACTTGGTAATTGTATAATTTATTTTGTTATTTTTTTTCTCTTAGTACACATTTCCTTTTTAGTTTGGACAAGTAATAATCTTGTCATATTATAATTTTCTCTCATATTCCTTTCATGAATTACGATTTACAATAACTTTTTACACTTTCTATTCTTTTTTTTTTTCATCAATTAGTCTATCAAAATTTTTAAATAAAAATTTTATTTTAAAAATAAATTTTATCATATATTTCTTAACTCAACAGTAGCTTTAATTTCATAAGATTTGCAAACGTGTCCTAAATAATAAATATACACACTTGTTCATATATTTTGACGGCTCTCACACAAAAAAATTGTACTCCCTCCATTTTGAAATATAAGGCATTTAAGGTTATTGCACAAATATTAAGGAGACATTAATTAATAAATAAATTGACTAAATTAACCTTATTTATTCTAATTACAACCACTCCACACTTCCTTAATTTCAACACAATGAGGGTATATTTGGAAAAAAATGCAAAAATTTGTCTTGATTTTTGAGCGCGCCTTATATTTCAAAAAAAATGAGAAATCTTTATACGCCTTATATTTCAAAATGGAGGGAGTATTTTAAACTTGTTTGGATAAAGAGAGGAATTAAAGACACCCTCTAACCTTTTAAAAAATTTTATTCTTATTTTAACTCATCGTGTCATTATTCCATTTTTACTCTTTTTATTCCATTAATGAGTCTTTAACTGCCATAATTAAAATCTAATCTAATCTAATAATTATTAAGGGGTAGTTTTCTCCTTCTCTTATTTCTTATTTACACGCAAACCACTTTTATTTTCCCCCAAATTGATCTTCTTCTTCATTTTCCCTTCATTCATTTTTTTCTTTTCTTACACAACAACACAATATTTTATTTTTCTCTTCTCTTCTTATTCCTCATACTTCTTCAATTTAAGATAAAAAAAATGAATCAAAATTATTCACCATCTAACCTACTCACACAACACCAAATTCGACGGTAGGGCTACGAGCGGCGACTTTGTCCAAGGGCGGCGTGCCCATCAAGTCTCGAATTTGGGGACTGACCGGCGATGACACGACCCAACAATTGGCGGGCTTCAGCCGAGGGAGGCGGTGGCTTTCGAGTTCTGGAGGTCGTCGAACATGGGCTCGGCGGCTGAAAGCGGAAATTGAAGAGTATGGAGGTAACTGTCTGTTGCTTGTTTATGATTTTTTCTGATTTATGTGTGCTTATAATTTCTTACAAAAAGGGCTGTTTTTTTTTTAAATCAGAAATTAATCTTTAATTTAGATTATAGATAAAAATTTAAAATTAAATAAATAATAATTATTATTATTATTTAATATGGTAGATGAGAGTTGTTAAACATTTCAACAACTATCAAACATCACCATTATAATTATAATATTTTTATTATTATTTATTCTTTAATTAAGATTAAAGAATTAATAATAAAAAAAAAAATATTAGTTGGGGGCGGCCAACTAAGTAGCCACCCCATGTCATCCTTATTTATATATACTAGTAAAGTGCACGTGCGATGCACGTGGTATCGAATGATTTTTGCTGAGTAAGTTTGTAAAATAAATTAATTTATTTATTAAACATATCATTGCAGGAATGAAATAAAATATAGGACAAATGAATTCATATGTGATTTTTTTTATTTATAATTAGCGTAATGATGTCCTAATATAAAAAGAGTGAAATAACGTTTTACAACCCCCAACTAAAATATATAAAAAACAAATCCTTAATACAAAAACCATTAAGATTTTCTTTCATCTTTCTTATAAGAAACATTCATACTTGCTGGAGTCTAATACATCAATACTATTGCAAAATTTCTCTTAATTCATTTGACAAAACGCTAATTTTATTAAAACACTTAAGAAACATTCTGACTAAACATATAGTCAGACTTCATGATCGTATAATCTTTATAATAAGACACTTCTACTAACAATGCATAAATATCACTATAAAATAACTAATTGTGTCATTAAAATTGCCGGTATTTTTTTTATCATTGTATAAACTACTACATTCCTTTGTCTCTAGACATGTTGTTGTCTATTCCATTGATGCATCGCCCCACGAGGTGGGAATGAATTTTATCTCCAAATAAAAGTTGACTTTCCAAAATTTAGGTTACATGTACTTCTCCCGAGGTGCTAAATTATTTTTTGAAATCATCATACATTACCTGAAAATACCTCTAAAGTAATTGCACATATGTTCAAGTACAATATACCAGTGAGATTATAAATATTTCTATAAAAAGTGACAACTTCATTCGAACATTCAAAATTATTTTGATACTCCGACATTGTTATTTATTTGGAATATAGACAAACAATATAACCTATTATTTGAAAATTATTGACCATTATGGCTGTTGAAATGATTTTAGAATTGTTTATCATAATATCTTTCACATTCGTTTGAATATGCAATATTTGTGTGCTTAATAACTTCTTTAATGCCTTTATTGTCCAACATTATTCATCATACAAAATGATTATAAAATTCAAGATAAAGATCATTTCTTTATTCTCCAACAATGACAAAACAAAACAATTAAACAATGAGAAAATATTGAGAAACATATCATTTGTTAAAATATTTGATAAGAGAAGAGTTAGAATTCTATTATATTACGATACTCTTAGTCATCTGCAAAGTTTATTATTATGGAGTCATGATTAAAATATACATTATGTATTACAAATTTTTTTATTTTTTAATTACTTAAAATTAAAAATAAATAATATAGGATCTATGAAAACCAATTTCTTACAGAGTCCCTATATTTAAACGCTAGCAGCAAAAAAGTAGCAATTTTCAAAGACTTTTTGTTCGTAAATATTAATATTCATACTTCTCTAAGAAAATTCACACGTATTCTTTTTCTCATTGTGTTACTATTATATTATTTGTTTCTTATTCTATAGATAAATAATATTTTATTTGCTAAATAATTAAAGCACATTTATATGTATTGCGTTATTTTTTGTATGTGTTTTATATAATGATGTTTTCAAATTATCTTTTTTATTAGGCTGCAACTACTATAATCACATAAGATATAATGTAAATTTAATATATTTGACAAAAATGTACTTTTTATACGAATTATTAGATTAAAAAGTTTACAATTTTTTCCAATGTTTGATAAAATATTAGGTAACTAAGTCATTTTCATAATCACTGAATACATATATGGTACCACCTTTATAGGGTTTTTTTTCAAGCAGTAATTGAATAATAGTTTAACGTACAACTCATTTATTTGTCTTTTTAATTCACATAGCTAATGTTATCTTATTTCCCTTCTCTGGCCTAGTCTCTTCCTTCTTTTATCTATGATTTCACTTCGCTTCGCTTCGTTTGTACCTAAGGTGCATTCGCCATAGTTTCAGCATTACGGCAAACCAGTGACAAATATATATCGGGAATTGGCGCTCTAGCCAAAATGTGGGAATAGTTGTAAGTTTACCTCCATTTTTTTATGTTATTTTTAATATGAATTGTTTCAAATGTATGTAAGAAAAATGTAAGAAAAATATACCACAAGTTTATCTTATGTTATTTTATACTTAATAAAATTGATTTAACTTGAATAAATAAATTAATATATACTATAATTTTAGGTCAATTTATTATTTTAAAATTATTACTGATATATATATATATATATATCGATATAAATAATTATATTATTTTTATTTTATTTTCAATATATTGGTCAACTCAAACATTATTGAAAAGAAATAATGTGATATATTACATATAAAAAGAGTAACAAATAAAAAATATGAAGTATCACAAAATTAAAAAATTTAATGAGAGAAAGTAATTAAATTTTTAATTAAAAAATTTTAAGATTCACATATCCAATTTTAAAGAAATGTATACCTAAAAGTTCTAGTTAAAATATATGTGTATCTTAAGTATATTTTATATTTCTTATTAGCCAGCTCCAATTGATATTGTACATTAAATAATTTTATCAGTATTTTTACTCTTTGATTTAATGAGAGCTATAAGTTTTCTCATCATTCTTACCCCTTATTTAGTTATTATAATACTAATAAAATAATTAAGGACCTTTCAAAATATCTTGTTTGTTTTGAAATAAAAATTACTTATTATCATACATTAAACGACAATTACATTGAATTTGTTATATTTTCTATCATATCAAAATTTTCATAATAATACTTGCACAAAATATTATATAATAATACAATTTTTTTATTTTTTTTTTATTTTTTTTTTATAGATTTGGAGTCCTACTTTTATTACAAGAAAATGAGAAAATTCCAACGAAAATTACAACAATAATATAACGATCTTCTTAAGTTGAATTGAGAAAAATCATGTCTTTTGGTTTCTTAAATATATTTTATCTTATTGTGACTGTATTGATTTATTAAAATATATTACAAAATTAGAAAGGTGATATATTAATTTATAAATTACAATGACATGTAATTTTGATGGTATATTTTTTCTATTAACTAAATAATGCCCCAATATGAAATTATTTTAGATCTATCACTGCAATTAGCTTTCCAATGAAATTTCCATTGAATTTTTGCACAATTCCAATGACAGTTTTTCCAACGATTGAAATATGATCCAAAAACAATCCAATGGAAATTCAAGTAATTGAAATCTTTAAATCCACTAAAGTTAAAGTAATTTAATTTGAACTTTGTTGGAATAGCCAATGAAATTTCCAATAAAAGCAATATTTATGAAATATTCGTTGGAATTTTCTGTAGATTACCTTACCGTTGATTTTTTCATTGCAATATAGCAATTTGTTGTAGTCCTCTTAAACATTAATTTTTTATGTAGTATTTATTGATTAATTGTGTTTACAATTTTTCTATTAAAAATATATTAAACACATGAACTTTTTAGTTCATATATTTTTTTTTCAGAAATTACTCATTATTTTATCTCAAGATTACCTATTGATTTACCAATTGAGTTACATTTCTTACATATTAAATATTTAAAAATTAGAATATTTCCTATTTTATATGTTCAATATGATGTTTATATATTATATTAAAAAAATAATATAGCAAATAAAAAGTTAATTAAAATTAGAACAATAAAGATTTTTTTTTTGGTAACTTACATGAATAAATGTACAAATAACTATTGTCTATCACATCAAATTTACACATAAAATTATTAGGAGAAAAAACTAACAAGTATTTAACAACTCAGCTCGTTTACGTCGATAAGTATATTTATAAAAGGTTTATATTTCTTCTATTAATTATAACATTTTTATTTATTACTTTGTTTCATATTTATTAGTACGTGTCACAACTTATTTATTTTTAATATTATTTATCATATTTAATATTTTTTTTAAACTTTTATATTGTTCTTTTACATGTTCTTAACTGTAGATTTGTCAAAAAATGCATGATATAAAGTCTAGAATTGTTTCGATCATCTGTCTCATTATATATCAATTATTTGTATATCTTATATTATATTATATTTAATTACAATTTTTTTTATTTATACTACAATTAAATATTTATAATTCATAAATTCATCAATAATATTGTCGAGTCAACTTTTGTTCATAAAATTTTAAAAAACATAATTATTTTCAATTATATGCTTATGTTAAATTGAGAAAAGTTATTTTTTTTTAATTGTAACTGTATTGATGTGTAACATATATTATAGATGAGAAAGATGACAAAATATTAAAAATATAATTTATAAATTATAATGGCATTATGTTATTTTACTGGTATACCTTTTCTATTAACTAAATAATGCCTCAAGTATGAAATTATTTTGTATCCACCACTGCAGGTAGATTTCGAATAGAACTTCCATTGAAATTCTTACATTTCCAGTGACATTTTTTTCAACTGTTGGAATAATGTAATTTGATCTCGGAATAGTCAATGAAATTTTACAATGACAGCTATACGAATAAAATATCATTTGGGATTTTCATTGGATGTCTTACCGTTGGATTTTTCATTGCAATGTACCATTTTTTTATTCCTTTATAAATTATATTTTTTTATGTGGAAGTTTTTGTTATTAATTAGATGTATTTATAATTTTTCTATTAAAAATATATTAAACACATGAACTTTTTAATCCATATATTTTTTAGAAATCGCTCATTATTTTATCGCAAGACTACCTATTAACGTATCAATTGAGTTACATTTTCTTTCACATTAAATATCAAATAATAAAAAGTATTATTGTATATATATAATATGGTATTTATATATTATATTAAAAAAATAATAGCAAATAAAACGTTATTTAAAATCAAAATTATCAAAGCTTTATTTAAAAAAATAAAAATTAATTTCTAACCTACATGGATAAAAGTATAAATAACTATTATCTATCGTCTAAAATTTATACATTGAACTAATAAGCGCAAAAATTTAACATGTGGTGAACAATTTGGCTCATTTACATCGATAAATACAAATTTAAAAGTTCTACAAATACTATTACTAATTATAATATTTTTATTTATTACTTTTTTTTCATAGTTATTACTAAGTATTACAACTTAGTTATAAATTTAATATTATTTATTAGATTTATTGTTTTTTTAACTTTAAACTGTTCTTTCAAATGTATTTTAATATATATATGTGTGTGTGTGTGTATAACTTTTAGGTTTATTAAAAAATATATAAAATTAAAGTATAGCACTTTTTTGAATCATATGTCTTATTTATATCAATTAATTTTATATCTTTATATTATATTATATATAATTATAATCTTCTCATTTATACTCAAATATATAAATTTTTTATTTCGTACAGTGTTTTCTTAAAAACCATTTTATTATAATAACACATATTAATAGATAGATGAGTAATGATAATATATGAATATAATTATTTGATTAAAATAATTAATTTTCAACATGTAAATCATATTATGATTCTCGAGATATTTTTAATTTATTTGTAGATAATTATATGGTTAAAATTAATCCATGTTGCTAAAGTGGTATCTCATTTAATGTGAAAATAAATAAATTAAGTTTTAGTATTATACAATTTCATAAAATTATTCTGGTCTTATGTATCGAAGAAATTGAATTGATTAGAAGTTTAGGTTGCAGAACAATCATTCAACAATTAATCTCGCATACTATTACACATTTTGTATAGGTTATTTTGAAAATAATGTTTCTATACTTTGTGGTCGTTATGAGAAAAAAACAATATCGATTTCTAGTTTTATAAGTGTTTATTATGCTTTTTTTGTTGGATCAATTTTAATTTCTTTAAGGAACTTTTATATATTAGAGTTATGAAATGTGATTACAATATTACCATTACAATTATATTAAAAATAATGACGTTTTTCAAAACAACAATTCTATATCCTATCAAACAGTTTTAGAGATATGTGGAAGAAAACAAATTCGTGAGAAATAATGGTGCCAAACCAACATACTGTAGTTGATTTTAGGAGTGTGGAATGATTTGTTCATGTATTTGTATTTAATTGTTATAATTAAAAATATAAGATATGATGGACATTAATATATTACTAATTTGCCATTTAAAACATGTCAAAGTAAGGGCTTATTAGGTAATTCATTTTAATATTTAAAAATATAAAATATGATATGTATTAATGTATTACTAATTTGCCATTAAAAATATGCCAAAGTAAGGGTTTTTTAGGTAGTTCATATTCTTACAAAAACACTCGTCCTTTTAAAGTAGTATAGATATATATGTTGTTGTACATATGATGTACAGAACATCTCAATACCAACTCTCCCATTAGAGTTTTGCAAAATTGAGCAATTATGCTCTCGGCATTTGCGAAAGAAAAATAAAAATCTCCTCTCAATTTAATTCTTTATACCAATTCAATTTCAGAAAATTTCTATTAACGAAGAAATTGTTCTCGAAGTCGGAATCCAAATAGGTGGACTCGATTAGAGGGGAGACGCTTGAATCCCTTATGGAGTAAGAAGACGGTGATAGCCACATAACCGGAAATTGATTTCCTCTTTATCGTCGCTATTTGAAGAAAATTAAAGGTAATTTTTGAAATTCTCTACAAATCAAAATTCGTATTTTTACGTGATTTTAAAAGATGCCGATCATTTTATTCGCTATATAAACTTACAGATTAATTATTTATTTGATAAATGATAATTATATTGTATAATTTTCGCTGCGATTTTAATCCGTACATTATAACGAACCCAACATCATGTTAGTGGGCCCGCACCCGTTTTCCCCCAGTTTCTTACATACCCCTTTTTGTTTGAAGTATACGAGTACATCCGACCTCCTGTATCATTCATGCAACTAGCACATTTTTGCAGTATATTACTCGCTTACTCTCGCAGGTTCGCCTTGGTCAAAGAGGCCTGAAAATTCACCCATCAAAATCCAAATTAATCTGTTAGCGAAGTGGAGAAAGAAGATGAGTGGACGGCTCAACTTCTTTTGCGGGCTGAGATATGCCGATGCGATTGGGAGCCCGTCAAAATCCAAATACGGTCTGATTTTTGAAACTATGCCATGGAATTTAGATTAACCCATCCCAAATATCAATTAAATATTGACTATTAATTAACTATTCCTTAGAATGAGGATCCTACCGGCCAAATGTCAACCCAATCGATCCTGGATTACATAAAATTAAAACCCACCTTTTTTTGTCGCACATACATACACACGTAAGATCACGTGATGAAGTTGAACATCACGGGAGCTTCCTTAACAGAAGCAGGAAACATCCGTGAACGAGAGATCTCATTCACAAGGATCACAACACCACACTATAAAAGCCGCCATAAACCCCCAAAGAACACTAACTCATTCACAGCAACAGCAAAAATACTCTCAAAAGAGTGAAAATAAATAAATAAAAATAAATAACAAACATGAAGAAAGTTGGATCGGTTCATCATAATCATAATGTGACCGTCTTAGGTTCGGGGGAGACCACAGTTGTCCTCGGCCATGGAGCCGGCAGCGACCAGTCGGTGTGGAAGCACCTTGTCCCACACCTCGTGGACGTTTACACTGTCATTCTCTACGATGACATTGGTGCCGGGACCACCGACCCCAACCTCTACGATTTCAACCGCTACTCATCCATCGATGGCTACGTGGAAGATTTGATCGCCATTTTGGATGAACTCAAAGTCGAGGGATGCATTTTCGTCGGGCACTCGCTGTCCCCTTTGGTGGCCGCCATAGCCTCGATTTCCAGACCCCATCTCTTTCGTAAAGTAATAATGGTTTCCGCTACCCCGAGGTACATTATAATTACTACTATCTTATATAATATAGGTATCTTTTGAAATTTGTTTGGGGGTGGTAATTAATTTTAATTAGAATGGCAAACTCGGAGGACTACCACGGAGGCACCGACCAGGAAGCGATCGACCATATGCTGGCTGTCTTGGAGAAGAATCCCACATCTTTCTACGCGGACATTGCCCCGCGAGTGGTGGGCGGCAGCCCGGACTCGGAGGCCGTTGAGGAGTTCAAAAGAACCCTCAATAATGAGCGGCCGGACATTGCCTTAAACAGGAGCCGCTGGGTATTCTCTTATGACCTGAGGCCATACCTCGGCCAAATCACCGTCCCCTGCCACATCATCCAGAGCTCCAAGGACGCGGTGGTGCCGGTGGAGGTGGGTGACTACATCCACCGGAGCTTGGGCGGGAGGTCGGTTTTGGAGGTGATTCCAACAGAGGGTCACGTGCCGCATCTCAGCTCCCCGGAGCTCACAAACCCAGTGCTGCTCCGCCACATACGCCAGGACATCTAGTTATTGGGCTTGGTTTGATGTCATTTGTTTGAGTCTGTAATTAGACGGTGCTAATTACTTTAGCGACACGGCATTTTGCATCGTTTGATGTTTGATCCTTTTCTAAAACCAGATCCCAATAGCTTTCGCGTCTTTCTAAATCCTGAGTGTGGCTCTCCCTTATTTCGGCATCCGGTGTCGGTCCGATATGTATTCAAACGTTGGTTTTGATATTTATGAGTATTTCTATCGTTTCGAAAAAATAAAAAAAAAAAAAATTAATCAGTTAATAGATTTTGAAATAATAAAAAAGAATGGAATAATTATTTATTAGAATAATTGTTGATTCATATCCATTTTCTATTTTATTATGTTATTTTGTATATATTTTTATATATTTTATTTGGACTGTAAGAGATGTATATTTTATTTTATAATTAATAAATTTATAAACTAATATTTCATTAAAATAACTTGATATTGATATCTATTCTTTTTATTTTTATAGAATTTTTGTGTATTTTATTTGGACAGTAATAGACAACTAAAAGGGAATCATTATACAAACTTATTCATATTAATTTATTATAATGTGGTTGTACTATAAGAAACCAAAATATATAAAAAAATAAATTATAACTTATATATTTACTTGTTATTCATTTAATCTGAAACTCTAATTACCCTTTAGAAAGTTCAATAATATAAAAGATAAATTTTAATAATGACTTTATAATAATAAAGTTCACAGTGACTAACAGTATATAGAGATAAAACTTTGTGAATGCATTTAAGACATCATGATTGTTTTGTGTGTAGGGATAAGGGTGGGTGTAAGGTAGGGATAAGGTTAGGGACAGAGAGTAAGATTATGTTAGGGATAAAGGTAAGGATCGGGGTAAGGTTAAGGTGCGCATGTGTTATTTTATGTAATGATGGTTGCACTCATCCAATTAGTGACTTTAGTGTTGCTTGTTATACATATAAAATGGTGTAGTCTATTTCGTTTAAATTTAACAATACCTTCTATCATTTCTTTGCCTCTTTTTTTTTTCCCCTATATTGATACATAGCGTAGCAATCTTGGATCTTTTGGTAAGTAAATCTCTAAAAAAACGTATATAGCTATATTAAAAATCTCAAGTACCAAAAAAATCGGTCCCTTAGGGGATTCGGAAACCGAAAAGTTCATTGTACCAAAAAAAAAATCTGAAGTACGGTTTCTTCATATGATTATGCTTAGACACTGAAAGTGTTGTGCCTAATCGTTGGTGTACACGTGAAAATTGAAGTGAAAATTATTTTATGTATCACATAGTTGTGTTCAACTAAAGTTGAATATAATATTTCTAACATAATTGGATCTTGTTGTTTTCTTCGTATTTTATATATGGCTTATGATTATGATGCATCATGTTGATGAATAAAATAGTTGCCTTTGTACATTGTCATCATTTGTTCACTTTTAACTTTGACTAACTACTTAATCTGTTTTTGTTATACTTTTTGAAGAGAACATGCCTTATGTTACGAAAGTCTGAACTTGAAGATTTATGTTTTATTTTTTTTCGTGTGTTTTATCATTTTTTGCTCTGTATATTAGTGGTACGTATGAAAGCTTGACAATGAATATATTTTTATTGAATTTTTTTCATACTCGACTGTCGCTTCCGATGTACGGAGACTCTACCTAACAAAATTATTGATGTTTTTTAAATCATTAATTAAGAGAAATGTATATATATTGGTTTCTATTTTCGTGTAACTATATCTCCTTTTACGTTTGTTTAATTTCGTAATTTAGTTGATCTTTTAGTTCTTGAAAGGATGCATGAAAATTGCTATTTACTTTTCATTATAATATTTACTCTTTCACTTATTACGAATATTTGATTCCCTCTTTCTGTGTATGTGTACGCGTGTGTGTGCGTGTTCATGTATATATTTATAATGATTCTTTTATGTAATATCATTTTTTTCAATCTTTAGTCTTTATAATTTTGTTAACATTGAAAAAGATATTATATAACATTACATTTTACATACGGCAACAGAGAGGAGGTTTCTAAAAGATCCAACTTCTCTCTCTCTTCGCCCCAAAAAAACCTTGCTCTTCCCGTCGCTATTCTCTTAAATCGACGCCTCTCTCTCGGCTTCCGGCCTCTTCGGTAGTCCCCCCCTCGCCGTCCGGCCCTCCCTGATGCCGCGAACCAAGCTTGCCTCTGGCGTCGGTGGTCCTTGTGGTGCCAATTTCGCTTTCTCTGGAAATTGGGTTAGGGTTCGCCATATCCAACCATTTCGGTCCTGAGGAGAGACCTTAAGTCGCGGAGCTTTGGGTCAGGGTCGGGTGCGGCCCGGGCGGTCCATCTTCCCAGGTTGGATGTCTTGGGTTTATCAGGCGGTCTTCTCTCTCTCCCCGAATTCGACTTCGACGGCATGCTTTCCGGTCGTTGTGGGGTGCAGGAGTTGTCGGACTGCTTTGTTCTTTTTCGCCGGCAGATTGGTGTGTGAAGGCGGTGAGCTTTTGGTCGACAATTGGTCGGTTGCCGGTCTCGATTGAGGGTGAGTTTCCTTCTAGCCGCTCCTGTCTCGGTTTTCTTTGCCTGCGTCTGGCGGTGTTCAATGGTTAGAAGCTTGGGCTCTTGAGTGGCTCAGGTTCTTTTGGCTTTCGAGATGGTAGGGCTGAGGCTGCGGTATTGAGACAGCTCCTTTCCTCCAATTCCTTGTGTTTGGGTTTCGGGGTTCTCGGTTCTTCTGAGCCCGCTAGTGGTGTTAGGGGGCTTGGTGGGCTGTGTTGGGAGTTTCTTGGTATTTCTGGTGTGGGGGAGAATTGGCTTTAGGTGGACTCGTGGTTTGAGTTGCGATCCAGCTAGGCTTAATTGCAGGGGAGGGGTCGTTTATCTCAAGCGGTGGGTGTCCCCTGGGTTGATTTGGTGGCTGCTAGTCTGGTTAGGAGATGCTGTAGAGGGAGGGCTTGTGATTGTGTGTTTTTTAGTTGTTTTTTTTTTTTTTGCTGGT